TGTTTCACAAACTACTATATATAAAATAGATAAACAACAAGGTCCTAATGTATAGCTCAGAGAACTACATTCAGTATCTTGTAATATCCTATAATGAAAAAAGAACATGAAAAAAATATGTATGTTACGTATAATTGAAATCACTATGCTGTACACCAGAAACAGCATTGTAAATCAACAAAATTTCAACTTAAAAATCAACTGTGTTTCTATCTGCTATAAAGAATCTGAAAAAGAAATTCACAATTCCATTTACAGTAGTATCAAAAAGAATAAAATAGGAAGAAACTTAACCAAGGAAATGAAAGACTTGGACACTGAAAACTGTACAATTATAGTGAAAGAAATTAGAAGAGACACTTATGGGAAGACATTCTAGGTTCATGAGTTGGAAGACTTAATCATGTTAAGACATCATTACTACCCAAAATGATCTGCAGATTCAACACAACCCATACAAAAATCCCAACAATGCTTTTTGCAGACAGAAAAGTCCCTCCTAAGACGCATATGAAATCACAGGGGTCGCCAACTAGCCAAGACAATCTTGAACAATGTTGGGGGTCTCAGTGCTTCCTGAATTCAACACTTACCACAAAGCTACAGTAATAAACATGGTATTATACTGTCATAAAGACAGGCATATAGATCAATGGAAGTGAACAGAGAACCCAGAAATAAGCCACCTCAAATAGAGTCAAGTGATTTTTGACAAGGGTGCCAAGACCATTCAATGGGAAAGGCAGTCTTAACAAATCTTGGAAAACTGGAGATCCACATGAGAAAGAATGAAGCTGAAGCTCTGCCTCATACTATACATAAAAATTAACTCAAAATGGATCAAGACCTCAACAAGAACTAAAGCGATTAAACTCTTTGGAAGAAACACTGGGGAAAGGCTTCATGACACTGGATTTGGCACCAAAAAGCACAGGCAACAAAAGAAAAACTAGACAAACTTTCAACTAAATCAAAGTTTTAAACGTGCAAGAAAGGACACTGTCAGCAGCGCGAAAGGGCAAACCTCAAGGGTGGGCGACAACTACCTGGAAACCTGAATGTATCTGATAAGGGCTTAATGTCCAGGATGCAGAAGGAACTCCTACCACTTAGAGAAACAATAAGCAACAATTTCAGTTCACATTTCTTCACAGGTACACAAACGTCCCACAAGCTCATGAAAAGAGGCCCAAGATCACCAGCAGCGAGGGAAACGCAAACCAAAGCCGCAGGGAAGCAGGTGGCACTTGACACCCATTAGGATGGTTCTTATCAAAAGACAAATGGGGTTTTTCTTTTTTGATCAGAAAACAAGTGTTGGCACGGATGTAGAGAAAGTGGAACCCTTGTGCACTGCTGCTGGGGACGTAAAATGGTACAGCCACTATGGAAAACTGAATGGAGGTTCCTCAAAATATGAAGAATAGAACCACTAATATATATAATCCGGCAATTCCACTTCTGGGTATACAATCCCCCAAAGGATTCAAAGTTAGGAGTCGAACAGGTATTTCGACTCCCCCCAAAATACCCATGTTCATGGCAGCCTTATTGACAATGGCCAAAAGATGAAGGCAACCCAGGGGTCCATCGATGGATGGGTGGCTGCACACAATGTGGTGTATACGTGCAGTGCAGTGCTCAGCCTCACAGTGGAAGGAAGTTGTCACGTGCTGTGTTACGCTCAGGGGAGTAAGCCAGTCCCGGAACAAATACAGGTGAGTGTGAGATTCCTAGTCAAATTCAGAGAAAAGTGTTAGCCTGGGGCTGGGGTGGCCAGGAACGGGGAGTCAGTGCTTAACAGGAACAGCGTTGCTGTTGGGGATGATGAAAAAAGCTCTGGAGAAGGATGGCGGTGATGGTTACGCAGCAGTGTGAACGAACTGAACGCCACTGAACTGTACACGTGAAAATGGTTTAAATGGTAAATTTTCTTACATGTATTTTACAATAAAAAGAAAAAGCCTACTACTAGTACTTACCTTGCAATAGTGTTTGGAGAACGGGGGGCATCTTCCACGTGTGGGCCCCCGTAAACGAGCCCTTTCTCTGACCTTCCTCGGCTCCCGCGGGGCCCAGGTCCCTGCGATGCCACTCCTGGGTGAGAACGTGGAGGTTCGTGGTCCCCAGGGCACTGGCTCAGCGCTCCCAATGCCACGACGCAGAGATGGCGCGCAGGAGGCGCTGGGGCTCCACCAGGAGCGCTCTCCTGCCTGGGCTGTTCCGAGGCTGGCTTTCCGTCCTTGGGAAGAGGGTCAGTGTCAGGGACCCGGGGTGGGTGAGCCTGGGGTGGAACCCAGACCCCTTCTCACCAGCACAACTCCAGCTTTCCCAGCTGAGGAGAAACAAACCTCCCTTCACCCAGATGCTGCCCACACATCTCTGCAGCCACCAGGCCCCACGCCAGGTCTCCAAGAGCACACAGGCAACTCCGGCTTCTTTCAAATGAGTGCTGACCCCAGCTTGAGAGGCCTTGTGCAGTGAGGATGGTCAGAAACACAGGCGCCTTCCCCCTCGAGCTTGACAGCTGCTTGATGCTGTGGGTCGGTTGCACTCACCTGTCACTTCGTAAGTGTGGCTCCTGCCACCCGGAATCCAAGACACTGTCTCACAAAAACAGCCCCCCCAAGTAATTGTAAAATAACTCGTAATTAGTTCCAAGGAAAGAATGGGAGAGTCCAGGCAGATGGATAAAACCTGGCCCCTCGGCCTCCATCCATGCTCCAGGACGCAGCCTGGGGCTTGGGGGTCCAGGTGGACAGAAAGTTCAGCTTGTTTCTCCGTGATTGGCTCTGGGACTGTGGACCTTGGGCGAGCTATTGGTCCTGAGCTGGCATCTATCCCCTCTCTGTGAAGTGGAGGGCCGCCGCCTTGGGGCGATGGGCCCATCTGCTTCCCAGGACTGGAGACCAGCACAGTGATTTCAAGTTGTAGCTGTCGGCCCGCCCACCGCAAACGAGTCCCACTCACAACCCAGCACGGCCTCAGGCTGAAACTTTCGTTGATTCTAGCACATTTATGCTCCTTGGGCTGGACTTTGTGGTGAGACTCGGGTGAACTCAGCTGCAGGCTTCACCCTGCGCTAGCCTGGGACAAAGGGGACAGGGAAGGTCTGGGATGGGGGGACAGGAAGGCCTGGGACAAAGGGGACAGGGAAGGCCTGGGATGAGGGGACAGGAAGGCCTGGGACAAGGGGGACAGGAAGGCCTCCTTACAGCAGACACAGCACTCCCCGATGGGATAAGTCTTTACAAATTCAGAATTAGTACAGTTTTAGAACTAAAGTTGCAGCCCCTTCCCCGCTGTCCTGCCTCAGTTTCTCACCCTGCTGACATTATAGCCCATGCTGGGTAACGTCCCTCCCACGTCCTCCGGACCAGGGCCCTCCTGCTTGGGTCACTGCGGTGCTGACGGACGAGATGAAGGAGGCCGAGCCGGTGGAGCTGAGCGCTCAGAGTGGGGCTCCAAGCACCAGGGAGCAGCCCCGCGGGGGACACAGCTCGAGATGAGGCCCTGGGCACAGGGAGCAGGGCGTCTCCCTTCTGCACCCAGGTGTCACTGCAGCTGCCCTGAAATACGTAAACAAAGCTGAGAGAGACCAGATGGCTGCGCTGCTGACACCCAGGCAGTCAGGACCCGCATTTTGGGTCAGCATCACAGAACATGCCGAGTGGTTCAGACCAGAGTCCGTCACCACGGAGCCAACTGGGCCACAGGCCACGCTGGCCCCGGCCCCGAGGGGCAGAGGAAATACCTCACAGAAACAACACGTCCTTTTATAAAATATTTATTCTAAAAAAATCACACTGTACAAATTTAGATAGAACATCCTCAATGTTCGTATTTATAAAAATGTGAACATAACAGACTGGAATTAGCAACCAAACCTTCGTTACTTCTTTTTAAATTAAAAAGGAAAATATGTGGTCTTCTTGTTTTTGTTTCCAGGTACAGTGATAGTAAACGTCTAGGAGACGCCCAGAGAGCCAGCCTGCAAACTAAGGCTCACCGCCAGCTCTCAGGGCCCACCTCCTGCCGTGGAACCCAGCTCCGACACGGGGGGCAGCGCGGCCTGCGGGGCTGAGCCCTAAGCATCCACGCCCGACGCTCGGCACTCCCACAGCTGGCTACACACAGCATACAAGTCTGTGCTTAAAGGAAATCCAGCACAGTTTGTTCATAATTTCTTGTTTCTCTACCAAAGTGGGTTTTCTGTACACTTGTTACAAAGTTCTGTACAAAAGCACGAAGCTCCTGGGAGGTGTAACTTCTGAGAGTTAAAAACAGACGGACGGACGGTGCAGAAGTGTTTTCCAGAGTTCAGTCTGTACACTCACATGGAGGAGGGAGGGACACAACAGCAAATAATTCACAGAGAAATTCTACACCAGGGGATCCTGGTTTCTTCAAAGTTACCTTAAAAGCTCCGATGAGTCTCTGCTCCCACGTCTAACCGCATGGCCTCTGTGACAGCTCAGCCCCTCTGCAATGAGACTCACCCTCTCGCGCACATACCGTCAGGGAAATAACGCAGCCAGTCGACGGCAGGGCAGCTGCAGGAGGCTGAGCGAGGCAGAGGGCGCTCACAGCCAGGGGTGCCAGGCGGGGTCCATGCGGCACAGGTTGTCCAGGCTGTTGGCAGCGGCCACCAGGGTGTTCACTTTGCTCTCCCCGCCTTCGAACTGGGCGAGGTTGTGCAGGCGTGTCATGATGGCCGTGACGGCTTTCTGGACCAGGGAGACCAGCTGCTGGCTGTCCATGTTCTCGGGCTGCCCGGCGGCCGAGAGAGGAGATGAAGTGTCCTCCTGCGTTTTTTTGTGCCAAGCGATGATCTCGTCCCGAAGCACAGTTTTCAGGATGCCATCCACCTGTGCGAAGAGAGAAGGAAATGACCCGTGTTGAACCAGCAATGACCCAGGGCAGCTTCCCAGCGAGGCAGCCCAGCCATGGCGGGCAGGGCGTCATGGCCACTCTGGTGGGGCCACCGCCTTTAGCACAGCTGTGTGTCTTTGTAAGGAGCCTGCAGAGGGTGGGGCTCTGCCAATGCTGGACTTCCCACGGGTGCTGAGAGCCATACCAATGACCACCTGGGGGTTCTAAGTTGAAGAAAGGGGGTGGGGGTGGGGGTGAGCAAGCAGCATTGCCTCCTGCTGGGGTCAAGGGTCAGTGTGTGGGAACTGGGTCCTGGGGGTGGGGTGGAGGGTGTTTGCTGCAGGACGAGAGCCAGTTCAGGAGGGAGGGAGAGGGACCAAAGAAGGAGAAGGGCCGGGGAACCCAGAGGCCAGCTGGTGGCATATTCAGGATGGAGAGATGACGTGTGGATCTTCGTGAACCGGGGTGTCGCATGGCATCCCTCATCATGGTTGGAAGGTGCGGACAGAGGGCTTCATCAGGCGCCCAGGGCTGTTTAACAGTGACTTGGGACCGATTCACTGAGGGTTTTGTCCTGTGTTACCTGGCACCAACGCAACGTGTTTTTAGAAGAGATTCCCACACAGCAGGTCTACACACTACCCTGCTGTAAAGGCACTCGCTCCAGCCAGGCTGCGGAGGAGCGTGCGCCCGCGGTCTGGGGAAGGCTCCGGTCCCGCCCGTCTACACCCGCACAGGCTGTGCAGGGTAACGCCCAGGGTTACTACAAGCTGCGACAGGCCTCAAACACGGACAGCCTTCTCCATTCTTTTCAAAGTTTTCAGTTAAATGCTGCTCTAGGAATTATCCTAAAACTGTTTCCAAAAGAGGAACATCTCTATGTAAACGAGAACTTCGTATTCAAGCCTTAAGCTGAGTGGGTAACAGTGCACTGCTGTTCACTGATCAGAGCAGACTCCTTGCTCGAGAAGAAACTGAAAGGCTCTGTTGTCGCTCATGTTTGTAACTGTTCATCACGTCCCAGAATAGCATCCCACACCGACGGTATGTGCGACCCAGTTTTAAAAAGAGCATGAGGCCCTTGTCTGCAGCTAAGAGGCTATTCAATAATTAAAAACCTGTTCTGAGTAAATGGTCTGGAAAGCAATTGGTGTCTGAAGTCTTCTCTGGACACAAATGGCTTATTTGGGAAAACAGCAAACAAAAAATCCAAAAAAACAGTATAGCTGGTCTCAGAAGTTAAAAGAAAAAAAAGGAAACTGTGTTCAGTCCCAGCTGTGGAGAGAGAGGCTCAGGGTCAGAACGAACTAGCTCTGAATCCCTGCCAGTCATCCCAGTGCAGAGCCAGGTGCAGGACTGTCACACGCCCTGGTGTGGCCAAGGGCCTGGCCGCTCCCGTCACGTGTCTCTGCGTGACTCATGGCCCGTCTGTGTAGGCCCCGTCACCGCAGCCCAGTAAGATGGGCATCACCCTACACAGAACGCTTCTGCCTTTCACGGCAGGAAGTTTGCAGAATGAGAAATGGAAGGAGACTGTGAAACAGCAAGCAAAACCGATGTGCACGGTAACAGCTGGGAAACCATCCAGCAGAGGCTCCTGGATTGCTTTTCCTATATACACACACACACACGCACATATATGTGTGTGTGTGCGTATTCTTCCTTTTTTAATACAAGTGATACTATTTTTAAAATGATTTATTTATTTTGTGGGGGGAGCAATTAGATTTGTTTCTAGTTTGGAGGAGGTACTGGGGATTGAACCCAAGACCTCGTGTGTGCTAGCACATGCTCTACCACTTGCACCATACACTATACCCCTGCCCCAGGTCGCTTTCTGTAAACTGGGCTCCTCAGGACGCTCAACACAGATGGACGGAGAACACCGTGAATAAGCCTCTTTCCCAAGTGAGCAAACTGTAACTGCACAGCAACAACCAGCTCTTCTGTCCCAGCCCACGGTGTGCTGAGACCCCAGGCTGCGCTCCTCACAGGACGACCCCCGGCCCACCTTGAAGTTCGGCTGGGCGAAGCACCGGGCGACGGCGATCATGGACGCTGTCAACGGGCCGGAGACGCCGACGGTGGTCAGGAACTCAGAGATGTTGGGTGTGAGGCGGAAAGGGACTGGGCGGTTGGCGTCCAAGTCTCCAGTTGCATCATTTATATCAAATCGAAAGTATGCCACGTTCAGCTTGCCGGTGTCCTACATTTCAGAAGGAGACGCTTTAGAAACCTAAACAGCAGACGGTGGACGTCCAGAGCGGGGCCTGGCTGTTCCCGCCCAGTTACCTGAGCGATCTGCAGCATCTCGGGGTTGAGTCTATTGAGATGCAAGACAAACTCGGCAAAGCCAATCAGCGCGAGCTGGATGGTGAACATCTTCCGGAAGGTCCAGTAGTCCGTGGCGTTGGGGAATGTGTGCAGAGCCCACTCCTTCAGCATGCTGCGTGGCACCATGTTACTCTGGACCTCCTTGAGGATGTCGCGAAGTACCTGAAAGGATGTGTCACTCTGTGACTCTTCCATCTAACTCACTCAAAGAGAAAACTCTAGAATTGTTAATTTCCTTCTGTAGAGGGGCCAATAGGGTGAATTTTGTTGACAAATACACACGTGGTGTCTCTGACTCATGGCGGGGATGCACGAGATTGGTCTGTTACCCTCCAGGCTCCATGTCTCGTGCCCAGAGCAGCAGAGCGGTCTGGATGAAAGTCTCAGCTGCATGCGTGAGACTGTCAGCCTTACCAAGAATTCGGGTAGACACTGAACACCGTAACTTGCCAACTACAGAATACAGCAGGCCGACTAACAAAAAGGACAGAGAAATGCCTAGAAACTTCAAAACTAAGACTATTAAACAAAAGGTTTGTAAACTGAAGGGGTTAGTCTAAAATTAGACCGGATGTTACATAACACTTGAAACTGAATTCCAGACTAGAAGACTCATAAGACTATTTCAAACATCACATAGTTAGAAATGGTCTCAATAAAAAGAGTTTATCAGGTTTATTTAGCTCCTGTTAGATCAACTGGTAAAGGCACACAGGTCTCCTCTGGGCTAAGTCGCACCCGTGTGCTCTGAACAACCACTAGGATGCAGGCCGCCAGGAAACTGGAACCACATGGGCCGCCAGGGACCCGGAACCACGCAGGCCACCAAGCACACGTTCAGTTTGTTCATTTCCTCATCAGAGTGAGGACCTCCAGAATTTGCTGCTCCACCAAAGCAGTAAGAACGCTGACAAAAATCATCAAAATACACTTTCCCATAACTGTGGAAATTAAAGGCTTGCAACAATCTGAGTAACTTTTATTCAAGGAAAAAAGGCTGAATCTTGGTGAGAACAGTGAGCTTGGTGGCCATTTAGTTGTCCAAGCCCCATCCCCTCTCCTCAGTGCTGCAGTGGCCGTGAAACCAACAGCCTCTCAACCACGGCAGCTGTGAAAACTCGCAGCTAACAGCCCTGGAGTGGGCGGAATGGGAGTGGGGACCCCAGGGAACTGTCACTGCTGACTGTGTGGCGGCTTCCGTTTTCTCAGAGCTCATATCCGAATGGACTCAGAGTTCACGCAGTCAGGGCATCGTGGGTGCCTGAGGCTGGGGCATCAGCTGGCGCTCACAGGAGGATGGCCAACCACAGACAAGCTGGGGAAGGAGACGACGTGGGGGCTTTGAGAAGCTCCGCCACATTCTTGGGAACCCAGAAGGCCAGCCTCACGCCCACAGGAAACCTCAGAGGCCCTATGCTACTCCTGGGTGACAGATTCTGCACAAGCAGGGAGTGAGGGCCAAGGCAGAGTTATAAGTTACCTCCATGTACATGCACACAGATACACACACATGCACACACGCGTGCGTGCACACACACACAGGCTCTCAAAGAAGGTGGAAGGCTCAGTGGTTCTAGGCATTTAAGAAACTGTCAAATCACCAGCTGGCCCCTGGGCTGAGCAGAGATGCCAGCGGCTGCACTTATGTGAGGGAGCTGTCAGGTCCTGCAGGAGAGCCGGGGAGTTTGGTTCTGGATATTCCACAATGGCCTCCTGGACAGAATTAGTCCAGGAAAGTCACTAAACAAACAGAAACACCAACAAAACTTGGAAGGAAAGATCTGATTTCTAGAACGGACACATTATCCAAAACATCCAGTTTTCCACAAAAGATCACGAGGCATGCAAAGAAGCAGGACAGCAGCCGGCCCACAGCGACAGAAGTGAAGGCACCTGCGTCAGGTCACCTGGACCTGAGACACAGGAAGAATTCTCAGGGTCAACAAAGGACAAACCACTCAATTTAAAAATGAGCAAAGGATCTGAACAGACTTTTCTCCAAAGAAAATATGCAAACAGCCAATTAGCACATGAAAAGATACTCAGTATCATTACTTCTCAGCCAAAATGAGCTACCACTTCACACCCACTAGGATGGCTGTAATAGAAAGACAGACAACTCTAAGTGTTGGCAAGGACGTGGAGAAATCAGAGCCCTCAGACACTGCAGTCACTTTGGAAACAGCCTGGCAGTTCATCAAGGTGTTAAACCTAAGAGTTACCAGGTGCCCCAGCAATCCCACTCCTGGGCGTACATCCGAGAGAAATGAGAACACGGGTCCACACAGACGGGTACCCGGCCCCTCCCTCTCCACGCGCCCCCGTCCTGAAGCTCTGGCCCGGCCCGCCCCGGCACCTGGTGGCTGGCTTGCGTGCCGCGCGCCTGCACGGTGGCCAGCCGGTCGTAGTAGCGGGAGATGGGGTTGTCGTGCTCGATGCCCTTCTTGGCGCAGCGCTGCTTGTAGATCTCCACCAGGGAGAGAGAGGACGGGTTGTCCTCCACCAGGCGCATCTGCGGGGACACGGCCACAACGCGTGGAACTGGGGAGAGGGGGGAGAGTGAGTCATCACGGCTCGGCGCGCGACGTGACCCTCAGGGACGTGCTGGGAGCAGCGTGCTTGGGGAAGAGCTGACTCGGCGAGCACATGGAGCTCTGTCTGCTGGGGTGGAGCCGGAGCTGCCCGTCGCCCGTGTTTAAGACACAGGTGAACAGAAATACCACGTAAGGTGACTTCAAAGGAGAAATACTCTGCCGAGCGCACTGGTGCCAAGCAGGCAGCAGCAGGTATGAACCTGTGTACGGCCTGCCTCCAGGCCACAGAACCACCCGCACCCTGGTGTGCACACACACGCCGCGGACTTCAGATGGACAAGGAGTTACCTCAGTCCAACGGCAGTCACACCACGGCTAGTGCCTGTTGCCGTGGCGTCAATCCATAAGGAAATTCCAGAAGGACTCCAGGGGACATGGGGACTGCACTCGGTGCTGACCAGGAGCTTGTTTCTTTGGAAGCAGTAACCACACTGGGATCGACCCTGTAGGTCTCGTTACATGCACGTTAGAACGCACTCAGCTTTCTATAGACTTCTTGCTTTTGCAATCTACTTATTTTGGGGATACAGAACTTAAGAGATTCTGGGTCAAAATGGGCTGGAACACACCTTGGCTGTCAGCACAAAGCCCCACACGGGACCAGACAACACGCACCCAGCAGGCCCCTGGGCCCGGGACTGCCGCTGTGTGTGTCAACAAGCTCTCCCTCGGGAGGGACGCTGGTGCACACAGGCACGGAGCCTCCTTCTCCCAGCAGACACGCCGCAGCACCCCCGACCTGCAGCGAGGAGCCCGAAGGCCCGGAACGGCCCCCCTCCAGGAGCAGGGCCCGTGTGGGGGCCCCAGCACTGCGGGGCCTCCCAGCCCAGAGCCGCCCGGGGTGTGTCTGCCGGCACGGACGGCAGACTTGAAACTCCGCAGGCTGACAGGTGCCACTGCGCACCCCGCGGCGCCGGGCTGGTACCTGTGAAAAATAAGTGCCTCTTGGTGGTTTCCTTCCTCTTTTCCAAACAGGGGTTCAGCAGGCGGAGCAGCTGCAGCACGCGCTCCTCCCGCCGCGACTCCGTCAGGCAGGCGTCGTTCATGACCAGGTACGGGTAGATCTTGCCGTTGTGGCCGCGGATGTACAGCCTCCTGGCCGCTGTGTTGTGCTTCTGCACAATCTCCACCCGGGGCATGAACCTACCGGGACAGGCAGACAGTAAAACACTGGCCCTGAGTCTCCGAGAAGAAAATGGGGCTTGACAGGAACGCGGTCAGAACTGTCGTGGAGACAGACTGTGGCCCCAGCAGACTGTGCCTCACGTGACAGGTGTGAGTGCGACCACACTGCATGGGAGGGGACGCCAGGCAAAGGGGGCACAGGAGAAAGGGAGAGGAGACGGCCCCCACCCTGCACGGCAGGGGCAGGTGCCCCAAGGAGCGAGCAGAAGGCAGGAGGAGGGCAGGCCACGGGACACAGGCGGACTCGGAGGCAAGGGATGAAACGCCTTAATGTCGAGGGCCGCCGCTTCACGGCTCTTTACATTGTGAGTGAGACAGGACACGTTCCAGTGAATCTGACAACCGCCTGACCCTGCTGTGACTACTGGGCTTGAAGAGTTTACAGAAGACTGGGAAACTTTATACTTTGTCAAGTTCCACGGGGGCTCAAAAAGGGTTCCTTTGAGCGAACACAGACATAAACACAAACCTGGTTCAAATGTGATGCTGCACCCTGCCCTCCGGTTAGACCAGACTCTTCCAGGGGTCTCAAACCCTGGGCCACCCTGGGCCCTCTCCCGTTTCCGGGCAAAGGAGAGACGAGGGCGGGTACAGCCCGACTGCAGAGTGCCGGCGGGAGGCTCACTCACCGGGCAATCTTGATGTAGTAGTGTGTCGGCTTCGGCATCAGAAACTCCCCAGGAATTTCCACCTCAGCGGTCTGCGCCGAGAAATTGCTCAAAAACCGGCACTTTTCTTCTATGAGGAAGAATTTTGGAAGCTGCTTGGTTTTGGCCTCCAGGATTTTGATCCATTTCTTCAATTTAGAAATAAGGTTATGAAGCTTCATGGACCCTGGAACACTGAAGTCAAAATCTTCAAAATAAAAGATAATTAGAAACACTTTTAGTCATCTGGGTGGTTTCTAACTCACTACAGAACGGCTGCTCAAGCACCTCCTCGCTGGGACACAGGTATATTTCATATCTGGTCTGGAGCATCGACCCCGAGGATTTTTTTTTTTTTTGACTGACAGATCCTGCCTCAGGTTTATTCGTACAAGCAGCACAAGTAGACATGAACCCCATGCAGACAGCTGCCCAGGGGTCACACTAGTCCTTATATCCTCACATCAGTAGATGAAAGGCTCTACTCTGGAGCCCTTGTGGGGGCCTGGGTGCCTTTAGGAGACTGAGCCGGAGCCGGAGCTGCAGCTGCGGCCTTGGCCTGAGCCTTGTCCTTGTCCTTTGGCCGACAGAGCCTGAGACCCTTGGCAATGCGGCACGAGCACGTTTCCCGAGCTTGGGGTGAGCAGTGCGGGCAGGTTGACTGAGCCTGCGGCTGCTGCCCTTTGGGATCTTGGGCCTGACCTCCTTGGGCTTTACGAGAGCCTCGACAGCCTCAGCACGTGCGCCCAGGCCCTTGGCGCTGTTGGCCTGCACCTTCTTCAGGCCCTTCTTGTTGTGCTTCTTGGCAAAGCGCATGTCCCTCAGGAAGCTGGGGTCCATCCCCTTAAGAGATTTGTATCGTTGTGATTGGGGTCTGTGATGCTATTTCTGTGCCATTTTCGGGACTGGTTGTGTGTGGTGTGGTTCTTCGACTTGGCCATGCCTGTACCGGAGCCGGAAGATCCCGACTCCGGCACCGAGGATTAAATGAGGTCGCAGGCACGGACACCCAGCACAGCACACGGCTAGTCCAGCAATTCTAATCGTCACACCCATGCACAAACTTAACCGTATGCAGCTGTCATCAGTTTTATGAAAGTCCATGAACTTTCACTTTATTTTTTCCTGTGGCACTTCTCTGGTCTCCCTTTAACTCTGGCATGATGTCACAGGAGCAGGTGGCAGGAGAGGCCGCCACACACCAACATGAGGGGAGGCAGGGGCCACCAAGCCAGACGCAGGCAGCTTCACACAGCTCTGGACCAGGACAGTGCTCCCAAGCTCAGGGCTGATCTTGATGTAGTGAGTTTCTGTTCGCTTTTTTTGGATTAACTTTTATTTTGAAACAAATATAGATTCATAGGAGTGCAAAAGATTGTACGGAGAGAGCCGTACACCCCTTCCTGACACTAAGAGACTGGCCTCGGTACAACCCACAGGGCTGATGCAGACTCGCCATCTAGAAGCACTGTGTGTGCGCCTGTGCCTCTGTGGGCGTCACGTGGGGACGCTGCACAACCAGCCCCGTGACTGGGATGCTCACTGTCCATCAGCCAGACGCAAGCTGCCTCCCAGAGCCACGCCCACCTCCTCCCAGCCCTCGGAGCCCGGCCACCACTCATCTGTTCTCTGTCCTGACTATTATGCAATTTCATATGTGTTTCATAAATGAGAGTCACACAGCAGGAATCCTGAGATGGGCTTTCTGCACTCAGCATAGTTTCGTTCAGGTTCACCCAACTTGCTGTGTGTGTGACAGTTAACTCCTCTTTATTTGCTTTACACGAGAATGGAAGCACCGCTCTCTGTCTACCCGCTCTCCTTAGAGGGGAATGTGGCTAGACTCCAGTCTGGTGCTGTAACACTCGTGTACAAGTGTTTGCATGCAGGTCAGTCTCCCTTTTCTGGGACAAATTCGAGGTACTGCTGTGAACTTTCCTCCCGTCCTCACAGACTTCTGGCTGGCAGCCAGCGCGCGCAGCACCGCTGGACAAGGAGGTGCAGCTCTCCTCCGATACCAGGGCCCCGCGCTGAGTCCCAGAGAACTGACGGCCAGAGGGGACGGCCGGCTCTTGATTTATACCTGAAACTTGCTGCATTTTGAGGTGAATCAGAGCCTCACAGCTGTCTTCTTTTAAGTTTTAGTTTTCGTCATTTTTTTTTTTCACATCAAAATCCAGATGATTCGCCCCACTTCTAATTCTCTGTTTCAGACTACATTTGATTTAACGATCTGGACGTTTTACAATAAAGAAACACTGAGTATCACTTCTTTTAAATAAAATATGATGGCTCCCATAGAACTTTCATCTCAGACCCTCTCTTTCTCAGAGGATGACAGACCGCATGAGCAGGAGCTCCAGGGGACATGGCCGTGCCTGTGTGTGCACCAGGGGGACGAGGTCCCCAAGGCAGATGAGGACTTAGGCTGAGGGAGACCAGGCCACTTACCACAGATCACACCGAAAGAGGTGGAGCCACAATTCGAGCTCCTGTGGGCCTAGGAAGATGCATGAGCCTGATCTAGGGACAGGTCATGTCCCCAGGGACAGATTCTGCCACCAGAACACACTACAAGTTTGACCGTTGTCACCTGGAGTCCTGCACCTTTGAGCCTCACCGCCTCACCCTACACTGCTGAGTTCTCCCATCAAAACCAGGCAGGAGGCAGGACAGAGGAGCAAGAGCAGGCTGCCCTGAAGCCTGTGCCCACCCCGACGTGCAGCCCCGAGCTCTGGCTCCCACACCTGGGGAAGGACCTGAGGTCCAGGCGGGGAGTGTTGCTGTTTCCTTGTGATTTGAGTCTGTATTTTAAACACAGTGTAACAGCTCACCCACACAGTGCTCACGAAAACAAATGAATACACAGCTCAGATGTTTAAGATGAAGGAGAAATGTGAGTGGAAGTGCCCCTGCATTAGGAAGAGCAAAGCAGGACTCACCGGTTGTGAACTGGCCCTTCAACTTCTGGAAGACAGGGTCCTGTGCAGTGGCCTGTGCCCGCCGGGCCAGGGACTCAGAGGCTGCGCTGGAGAACATGGTGGAGACGTTGGACACATTCTCTAGGCCCACCCCGAATGTGCTCACCAGCTTCTTGACGAAGTTGAGGGTGTGGGGGGTAATTTTGGCATCGGACACTGCTCCGCTTTTCTCAAATGCAACAGAGTAGCACTTTGCCAGGCCCTGCTGGAGCTGCCTGAGAACCTAGGGGAAAAGGGACCAAGGCAACTCACAAAACAGAGCTCTCGATCTGAGCAACCAACCAGCCAAACGCAGCTGTCCGGCACGTCCCCACCACCACCAAAGCTCTCTGTGGCACCTGGCGCCCAGCAGGTGCTGTCATCAGAGTGTGCAGACCAGGGGACGCCTGGACGCCCACACTGTGAGCTGTGTTTGCAACGAGGAGCAACTGTCCTGAACAGTTCAAAACAAAAACAAACAAACAAACAAAAACCCCAAACCCAAACCCAAAAACCTCAAATCCCATTTTTTGGGTCGTACACACGCTCTTCTGCTGATTAAGCGAGGAAGCCGCCACAGTGTCAGTGCTACTGCCGTGCGTGTGCACTCAAAGTAACACGGCACCAACCGGGGGCTTGTGGCCAACTGGCTGAAACTGGGCAACCAAGGCGGAGTATTTTGGCAACAGCTCACACCAACGCCACGGAGCTGGCCTGGCCGCTGAAAGGTCACCGGAAGCGGCTCCCAACCCCGGAGACTGGCGGCCAGGGAGCTGTCCGGGCCCACGGCCACCACTGCTGCCTGGTCAGTGGTGATATTAAGTGACAAAGCTCAGACAACTGAACAAAGTGAACATTTTAAGGCCAGAAATGGCTTTCTCAATTTCATCTCCTTCCTGTGAAGTCTTCTGCTGCAAGTACTTGAGGCTACACCAGTGTGCAGAGTTAAGCAAGTCCCTGCTGCCCCACTGCTCAATTCTGCGACACATGTAAATGACCAGGCAGCTAATCGAGAGCAAATATAGCCACAGATGCACACAGAACGACACGTCCCTCCGCAGGAAGCCAGCACTCCCGAGATCGTATCCAGTACCTCCTCGTGCCAGTTTTCTCTGAACCAGACCATCTGATCGACGATGCCTTCCAGGGAAGACAGCAGGGTCGGGTGCAGTTCCCGCTGCATGTGCATGATTCGGCTGCAGCGCCACATGGGGGCTGTTGCTCTTATGGGCCCTGGATCTGATGCAGAATGGGACTGGTTACCCACTGAACTTGGCTGCTGCTGTCCAGAATCTGAGAGCAACACACACAACGCCAATGTCAGCGCCAAACTGACCGATGGGAGAGTCGGTGCTCTAAGGACCCACCGGCCAAAGGAACGCTGGTTCCTGCCGGCGTGCGACACGTCACGGGACCGCTTCCCCGGGGCCACGTGGATCTAACGGGGTGGGGCGCTGTGGGGAGCATGGCTGTCTACAACTGGGCCCCAGAAAGCACACGTGCTGAGAGCGGGCAAGTTCGACAGCCCAGGAACTGGGGTTGCGGGTGAGGGCACCGTGTTCACCAAGCTCGCTCTCTGACTTCACCTGAATCTGAACGTTCACTTTTTAAATGTCTGGCAAAATATGTCACAATACATTCTTTACACTACAGCTCTGAGGATCCACAAGTAGTTAACAAGTCACTCTCCACGTTTTCATCTAGGAAAGCCAAACCCACGTGGAAAAGGACATTTTTGAAAAAATACGTAAGAGGTATGTTGTAGAATACCTGTTGCCCATTTTTCTAGCTTCAGGTCACTTAGACTAAAAATCGTTAACTTTCAAGTGACCAAAACACGATCTGACTCGGTCCTGGACCCAGGAGGTCGGAGCTGACGTGCTGGGCAGTGCTAACCCACCCCGCACAGGAGCGGCAAGGCCGCCACTGCCCAGGGGATGGAGTCACCTTCCAAGAACGACTCTGGCCTGCAGCGTGACTGTCTACGGATTAAGAACGTGGTGAAGCAAACAGTGCTTTAATTGTTTACAAAGCACCACGCTGAGTGGGTAACTGAAACCATTAAATGAGTTATTTCTTTACATCCTAGGGCTATTTGATACGGATTAAAAACTTCTCTTCTGAGTAAGTTTTTACATTTGGTGAGATTGATTTCTATGCGGATTCTCCTGACAGATGAAGACATTCTTTACAACACAGTAACTGACATTTATACTGTTTACCATGACGCATTTCTAACTATCGAGGCAAGTTATGCTTCACCATTATCTGTACCTAAAAATTTCATACATTTTTCCTACTTATGCGTCAGATCTCTCAGGTAAATGAACACTCAGCACATCGTGGTGAAGGAGAACCATGAACCCCACCGGGAGGCCAGGGTTTGTCTCCCAGCCCCAGTGTCCCCTCAGTGGCTAAAGGCGAGACCGGCCCCTGTCCTGGGAGTGCGCCGCAGGCAGAAGCCCGTCCGCCCGGGACCCAGCCCCGCGCCCCGCGGGGACGTACCGCTCTTGTAGCGTTCCCGTTGCTCTATCTTCAGGGTCAGGTACAGGGTCCGGATGGGGAAGTAGACAGCCTGGGGATACACTCGTCCGACCTGCTCAGAGACAGAGAAGTGAGGACCACCACTCATCACTGTGCTGCTGGACGGAGAGAATCTGTATCGAAAACAACTGGCGTCAATCCTAAGTGGGCCGCTGGCCTGCACCTGGGCCAAGGGAGCAGACACCTGACACACCGGAGGCCGATTAAACAGCAAGTCAGACATCCAGCTCAGCTTTAAAAGCCTTGACAACGACCAACATAGGGATTTCACCAGCTCTGCTCCAGGACTCTTAATCACAGAGAAACCACACTTTCACTTGATTCAGTTAATATGGCGGAGACAAAACACGAAAAGTTCTTACATCTCACTGAAGGCAAATGACAGGAAAACACAAAATGATATCAGTCTTTGTTCACCAGGAATTGTGAGCTGATTCTGACAACTAAGCTCATTAGTGAGTAACTTTACTCTGCTTAACTGCAGCAAGGAGGTGACTGAAAATTTTTTCTTTAAGGTGAGAAACGCCAGTTTTACCAAATTATGGTTACACGGCTCCCTCAGGAGGGCTGAGCAGACATACCCAGCTCTGCCACAGGCGGCAGGGTGGCTGGCTAGCGTCTGTTATGAGATGCTCAACGAATGACAATACCAAGTAGATGGAATCTCCATCTTGACAGATAGGCTCCAAGAAAATGCCGCTACCCAGGAGCAGAGCTGCAGGCCCTCAAGTTAAAAATAAAACCACTTCTGGGTACAGCGTAGATGATGTGCGACATGTGAAAAACAGAACGATGAGCAGCATGTTCCTACGTGTCTGGTGACAATGCTGTTCATTCCCGAAAAGTTACGACTCTCTGATTTTACAAAGGCACTCACTCGATCCCAGAGGGAACTGTATCCCAGTCTCTCCTGCTCAGCCCCTTCCTCCACCTCCCGGTCTTTCCACAGGAGAGGGCCAATCTGGACCCATTCTGTAACCATGGTCCTACGGGACCTAGCGCCCTGGTCTGTCCAAATCCCCAGGCCCACCCCAGGTGCACACAACTTTCAGCGTCTAACAGCAGCAGCTGAACAGCTGCACCAAGGGCAGCAAACACAGTTTGGGGTGAGTTTTATTCCGAAGGGAAGCCCTGCAGGGCACACGATGGGAAGTCAGCCATGAAGTATCGACTGGATACACACCCACGTGAGTAGCTCTGAGTACTCAACAGTGAACTTGCATTTTAAGAGGATGTTCATTTTTACTTATATCTTATGTGGCAACATGTTCAAGGAAAGCCACCGCCAGTCTAATACTGCAATGCTCCAGCAGATTATTTCACTCCAACCCTGACACTCTTCAATTGCTTTTAACTATGCTTTACATCAAGTGACCTCTAATTGTCTACATCTTCCCATCTCTCTGACTTAGTTTCAAAACTCTGAGCATGCACATTTTCTCTCTGGAAAAAAGGATGTGGAATGAAGACTAATTTTTTTGTGACCAAAGATGTCTTGGTATTCCCACCTGGCTAATGAGGTTCAAAAGCAGCTTCCCCTCGGAGCCGACCAGACAGGTGAGCAGCTGTGGGATCCAGGCCAGCCACTGGATGGGTGGCACGCCAATGCAGTACTTGTCCACAGCATCCGCCAGGGTATTCTTGTCATCGTCAAAACTCAGAAGCCACAGCACCTAAGATGGAAGGGAAAGGTTTAGAGTTGAATAAAAATTCACAGGCTCTCACCAAGTGACCTCTCCCCAACGTTAAAATTCTGTGTAAGAGTAGCTTTACTGTCACCGTGGGAAAAGATCTGCAAAAAGTCCAAAAGCACTGCTAAACTTAGATATAAATCTTACAAATAAAAAATGAAAATGTAAATACAGTTTTCATCTAGATTTAGCTTTAAAGCCAATTACTAACTGATCCCATCACCTGGCTAGTGGTGGCCAGTGTGACCTCAAGGAGGCAACAGGTGACACCAAGGGCCCGTCCGTCCGCCTGCTGCTTCACACTGTCATCTCAGCAGAACAAAATGGACTTTAGCTAAAAATCTCAGGTGAACATCACTCTAGTACCGGGCAGGCCCCATTGTGGCAGCCCAGTGTCTGTAGCTGTCTGAAACAATTACATCTACAAGTCAGCAAGTCTGGACTCAGACCGTGAGGGGGTCAGTGTTACTATAGTTGGTTTGTTTCTACAGTTGCTTTAACTACTAGGTGCTAATGTTCAAGCCAAACTTTGACATTAAACCAAGGAATCTAAAAAATCCTAACCTTTCATGGACAAAACACAAAAGCACAACAACTTAAGAATTCTTAAGTTTTCTGAAAGAACTGCTTCTGGGTTGCATTTATGTGTCTCCTGGGAGGGATCACCTGTTGGCAAATGTCAGTAGGGACCTGGTGCCCGGCACTACTCTGGGGCACCATGGACAAGGACCCCGAGGACCGAGACCTCACCCCGCAAGTGTGCAGAGGTCGTCCGATTCGGTGTCGCCTGTGACTGGGGCTGACCGCTCCGTGATTGTGTGCATGGTCCCCGCAGGTGAGAGGCCAGACTCTCACGGGTGTCTTAGCAGGTAAGTTCTCCTTGCAGACCCCCATCAGTCTGCAGGAATGTGTGTCCAGTGTGAGATTCCACAGAGAACACCGGCCTTGAGTCCTAAGACTCAGACTCCAAGCTCAGTTTTGCTGCTTCAAAGTCCTCTGACCCCAAGTATATCCAGGCCTCAACTTTTCAGCCTTAAAGTAGAACCATGGACTATACTTTGAGGAATGAAGGGAACTGACAGGTAAGGCATGAAGGAATGCCTTGAACCCAGCATAGGTTAGTATGTAGCTGAATTTCCATGCAGACTTGAAGGCTTCCAGATGGTCTTTGGTCGAAGCTAATTCTCTGTCTCACCTTGGCTAAGTATTTTCTAGATTTGCTCTCATTTTGATGCCGGCAGGCGTGCAGGTAACAGGTGATGGCAGACACTCCGAGATGCAGCTGCCGCTCCTTGACAAAGATGTTCTCCAGGTAGTCGCCCCACATGGCCCAGGCCTTCACCAGCACGTCATGCATCTGCACAGCTGCAGAAAAGGCTTTGTTTGCTTCCTCAGACCTGTGAGGACACAAAACCGAAACATGAGTTTTTTAGGTGGACATCACATCATATAAAACCAACCATTTTAAAGTGAGTAATCCCATGGCATTTGGTACATTCAAAATGGTGTGGTCCAGAACATTTTCATTACCCAAAGAAAACCCTTAACCAGTAAATAGTCACTCTCCACCCCCTCAACCTCCAGCCCCTGCTGGCACCAGCACGCTTCCTGTCTCTACAGATTTCCCTGTTCTGCGTACTTCTCGTTAACAGACTCACACATGATGTGCAATTTGGTCTGGATTCTTCCGTTTAGCAGAGTGTCTCTGAGGTCCACCCCCGCTGCACTACATGTCAGTACTTCACTCCTTGTTATGCTGAATAACACCCCATTGCGTGTATATACCACGTTTTGTTCATCCATTCATTTCAGTTAATTCAGTATTTTGGCTACAGGAAACAGTGCTGCCATGAACATTCATGAGCAAGTACCTGCCGGAGTCCCGTTTTTGATTCTTTAGGGTAAAAACCTCAGAACAGAATTGCTGGGTCACGTGACAGGTCTATGGTCATAGTTTTTGAGGACCCAACGCACTGTTTTACAGCTGACTGATCCCAGCTCTAAGAATAATCTCCGTAAAAGGAATCAACTCTCTTCCAAAGTGGCATGCTGAGAACACGTTATCAGCAACTCAGTGCTCATGCAACTCATTTTTTTCTTTTATTTATTTATTTTAATCGAGATACTGGATTGAACCCAGGACCCTGTGCATGCTAAGCATGTGCTTTGCCACCAAGCTATATCCTTCCCCTCAAGCAGCTCATTTTTAAAAAGCTTTAAGCACTACAGATCAAATGGGCTTGTCAATCTGCTGCCAGGTACTGTCTTTGCAGAGGCACAATGTCTGAAATGCCACCCCTGATAACACTAAATCATACCTATTTCTAGCCTGACCTTCATGTTGGCTTCAAGTTATAAATAACTATTCAAATAATCTGATGAGTTTTTCTCTTATCCTCCACCCAACACAACATACATACTTGTTGATCTGAGCCAAGAACATTCCCTTCAGTGCATAAAATTCAGCTGTCATCTCTTTTGTAAAGTATTTTAAGTTTGTAGATTCAATAACTTCAAGGCCCTGTTTATAAAAAAACAACAGAAAAGAATGTCTTGAAATTTCTAGACAATAATATAAAAACCTCATTAAAATCTAGGCAGTAAGTCCCAAAGGCCATTGACAAATATACTTTAAACTGACAACAGATCTGCCTACCATGAATATTTACTGACTGACTGACGATTTACTTAAGTAGTATTGAAACTGAATCACTAAATGCCAAGTTCAGTTCTAGACACCTTAAGGGTACCATTTTCTCCAAAGCTTTATGTATTTAGTCAGTTTCAATGTTTTAGAGCTCCATGCGGCCCCGCCCCTCCTCCCAGATCCCGGGGCGCGGGCCGGGCACCGGGTCCACTGACACGCTACCTGCATACACTCGTTCTTCCCCATGACACCTGCCAGCTGGAGGTAGCACTTGACTTGCTGCCGAATCTTCTGGAAGCAGTCCACAATGGGAACGGTTGGAATCGTATGAATGCGACTTAATATATCCAGAGCCACGTTGACCAGTCCCTGCTTGCGGGCGATTTTCCCATACTGGATGATTGCTGAAGCCGATGCGTGAACCCCCAGCATAGCGTTATTTGAGCTTGGATCATGCTGAGAACTATTTTCATACGCAGTTACAATAGCTAGAGAGCAAAGAAATGGGTTCTCAGTCCAAGTCAAATGCTGTTCAAAGTGTTCCACAACTAAGGCTTAAGTAAAAAGTGAAAAACAAACACACATGGCTTATGAAAATGGGAAGCTCTGTGATAAATCCTCATTACTTTTCCCTGTATTCTGTATCAAAAGTAAGATACAAGAAGCACCAATTACCAAGCTGAGCGTTAGCATTCTGGCTAACTAAAACACGAAGGTGGCTCTCAACAGATGCCTGACAGGTTTAGGGGAGGAGCAGCGAGGGTCAGGGAAACGGGGAAGGCTGCGCACTGCCACCTGAGAGAAGCTCTTCCTCGGGGGGCTTCAAAACAGAGGGCCACAACCCACAGCTCCGACCCCATGGGCCTGCGCCCCCTGCAACAGGCAGTGTCCAGCAAGTCTGTTCTGGCTGGAAAAAGGCAACAGGGGCGGGGACTTCCTCCCACCTTCACCCCCTTCCTCCTTACCCTCGTCATACCAACCACCATCTACCATACCTGCCAAAAAATAGAAAATCTGGTAAAAGGGAAAAAACAAAGCACAACCAAGACATGAAACCAGAACAGTGGGGTGTCTGGAAAATTACATGATGAATGCATGCCGGACCAGGTAGGTTTACCCTGGTAATGATGCTGCCTCCACATGAAGACACTGCTCCAGTGGGACAAGTCGTCCGACACGATAGGCAGCCGGTTCCTCCAGGTCTTCACCACCGTCTTCATGTCGTGCAGGCTGTTGTTCCTCCCCAAGTTGCTAGGCTGCAAGCCTGCGTTTATCTGTGCAGCTTCCTGAAGTTCAATGATCTGCTGCGCTGCCTGCAGGGGACCAGTGTGAGAGCCGACAGTGAGCGCTGGGTGAGGGTGAGCGAGGGAACCAGCCAGAGTCCATCAGGAGCCTGCCTGCTGGGAAGCCCCACGACTCAGTTACTAGAGGAAGCATGGGACTTATTCAGATGCCTCGGATGCCACACCTGACTTACCCACACCTCAGACGCCGCTCTCACGCTCCCCTGAACTACGCAGGTGCTGTGAAACCGGGGACTGGGAGGGCAAAGGTGTATACACCGCCCGCCCCGCCTCGCCCCAACAACCCTCTTTTCCACTCCCTTTGCCACCAGCCAAGTGTGGCTTGCAGTGTCAGACCAGAACAACCTCACCCTAGGCCTTCAAGCTTTCCTTCCATTAACGTGTGACCCTCAGAGCCATAGTGAGCATCTTAGGACACAGTTCTAATGACTCCTTGGGCTGATACATGCATCTTCCATCACATCCCTACAGATCTGTCCAGTTCACCACCCTTTAAACCCCAAGTGTGCTGCCGGCTCCACCTCCTTACGAGATGCCCTGGACACAGCTCTGAGCCTATTCAAACTCTACCCATCAGGTCCCACTTCCCCCTCCACAGGGGTTTTCCCTTCTCTAAACCCTGTGCTTCCTTCCTGTGCTGCCGCGTGGCCCTGAGTCACAGACTCCCTCTTCCTTTAAATTTTGCTTCTTATGGATGTGTCATCTCTCTCCAGCTATATGCTCCACTGAGGCAGAATATGTTTTTAAATTGTGTGAATGTCCCAAATAGCACCAAGTTCAGTACTCAGTACTCTTCTGTTTGACTTTAACTGGGAGGTGGGAACCATCTCTAAATGCAGTCAGCTTTATAACCAAGCTAATCAACAGATATTTACTGAGGATCAGCCATGACCAAAGCAGTGGAACAGATACGCAAGTGCCTTTAATCACTTCCAGAATACTTGAATCAAGATTGTCTGAAATACTGCATTTTATACTCCATGCTTTGAATATATAGCTATGCAATAATTTCTACTTAGTTATTCATAACTGTTATTCATAATACTTATTCATTCACAATGCTAGTCATTTATTCATAATACTACTTAGTCATTCAATCACAATAATACTCAGTCATTCATAATGAATATTTCTTGAATTGACACCTTTTTCCTATGTTCAATGTAGTAACTTTCTTCCTAATAGCTACAACACACAACCCACCTTTGCACTTTAAGGATATGAAGGAAAAAGTCCTCTTTAAATACAAAGCTTTAGACTGTTTTAGTAACCTAGATTAGAGACGTTACACACCTGCAAAGTAACATTAGTGCTCACCTTGAGCAAAAGCCACAAATAACATACAGAAATGAAAAGCATCGAAACAAAGTAAGAGACTAATTACCTCAATGAACTTCTGGTTCACTATGAAGAAGACAGGATAATCTAAGTATATTAATAAACAACTACGTAACTTAAAAAGCCTATTTATACACTAACTATAAAAAGAATTTACCAGTTAAAGTCTCAAAACTATTCTTTAAAGCAGGGGAAGTATGACCATCCTGAACTTCTGTTACAACATCAGCCTACAGTTTTACTCACTGAATAACCCTGGAAGCTGCTCCAGGAGAGGCACCAGATACGAGGACAAAAGCTGGCAGAGCCCCTGGAGTGTGTGCGCGTGCACGCAGGGGACTGGGTTGGGGGGAAAACGCGTCCCGTGGAGCAGGGCAGTGTGCACAAGGGGCCGTGGGAGGGTAGGCCTTTAGATTTGAGCCACTGAATGGTTTGCGTGGCTGAACGAACTCAGAAGCAGTGAAGACGATACACAAGGGAAGAAGCCAAGGCACAGTCTAACTGCAGCTGTAAGAGCCTCAGAGGATGAGAGGCTTTCTGGGCTGGACAGGGGCGTCACACTGATGCTGTGCGGTGGGCATTACAGAACATTTCTAAAGCAAAAGTGAAAATCGTCAGAATCACTTCTGAGGATGGTCTGTCGCTTAGATCCCTTGGAAGCTCCAAAAATGAGAAGCATCACTTCAGTTCTCTCCATTTTGACTCTAGCCTTCCTTTCTCTGAGGATGATTTTAAATGGGAAAGGACAAGTGGAAGGAGTTCCCTCTCTTCTGGCCTGCTCAGCTTACAGACCTAAGCCTGGACAGGAGGTGCTCCGCTGATGGGCCCGTGAGGCTGTGCTCCCACAAGGGCACTGTACCCACCTGAAGAAGAGGCGTGTGCACGTGGGACACCACGTGGGGCAGCCGCCGCCACTCGCGGATGGCCAGGCTGCTGGCCATTTCCACCAGGCGCTCGATGAAGCTGAGCTGCTGCTCCTCGGGGTGGCAGATAGCCAGGTACCCACGGTACATGTTGACCTTCCAAGCCATCTCCTTTGGACAACTCACTTCTACCTGGTGGTGAAAGAACATTACATAGGAAGCAACAGGTATACCACTGTCTCGGTGGTGACAGTCAAAAAGTGAAGTCAATTTTTGTGCAGCTGATTATACAAAGCAAAAAACAGAAATTAAGCTATAAACAGACACATTTTTTTCTGAGAAGCTTGCATTTAGATTTCTTTGGGATACTCTCCTTTTCCAAATCCCAGTGAGTGGCCAATCTCTCCAGCTACAAAGGCATGCCACAAGCTCCTTGCTTTAAGGTCACTGGTAGTTCCAAAAAGGGGAAAACTGATCAACAAAGTCAGCCAGTGAATTTTCGAATTATTAAATATGTGCTCATCTTTTGAATCATCTCCAAGTCACATTGTTATCCTGTGAAACTGACCTAACTTGTTCCATATTATATAAGGAAGTAGACAGAAAGCAGCAATTCAGCTTTATAAAAATGTGAGTGAACATTCAAAAATTTTACTGTCATACAAGATCAACATACAGAAATCAGTAGCATTTCTTTATACTAACAATGAAACATCAGAAGAGGAAAGTAAAGAAATAATCCCTTTTAAAACTGCATCCAAAAAAATTAAACACTTAGGAATAAATCTGACTAAAGAAGTGAAAGACTTACATGCAGAGAACTACAAATTGCTGACTAAGAAAATTAAAGATGACTGAAAGAAATGGAAAGATATCTCATGTTCTTGGATTAGAATTAATATTGTTAAAATGGCCATACTACCCAAAGCAATCTACAGATTTAATGCAATCCCTATCAAATTACCCAGGACATTTTTCACAGAACTAGAACAAATCATACTAAAATTTATATGGAATCACAAAAGACCCAGAAGTGCTAAGGCATTACTAAAGAAAAAGAATGAAGCTGGAGGAATAACCCTCCCAGACTTCAGACAATACTACAGAGTTACAGTAATCAAGACAGCACGTATTGGTATTGGTATAAAACAGACATATGGATCAATGGAACAGAATAGAGAGCCCAGAACTGAACCCACAAACTTTGGGTCAATTAATCTTTGACAAAGGAGGCAAGAACATACAATAGAATAAAGACAGTCTCTTCAGCAAATGGTGTTGGGAAAACTGGACAGAAGCATGTAAATCAATGAAGTTAGCGTACTCCCTCACACCATACACAAAAATAAACTCAAAATGGCTTAAAGACAAGACAAGACACAATAAACCTCCTAGAAGAAAACACAGGCAAAACATTATCTGACATACATCTCAGCAATGTTCTCCTCGAGCAGTCTACCCAAGCAATAGAAATAAAAGCAAAAATAAACAAATGGGACCTAATTAAACTTAC